CAAAATGAAGAGGCTCACAGCAGCAGTTACAGAGAGAGTGGAGACAAGTTTTGAATGTTAAGTCCATTTAAACCAGAGTCAGTGGAGTCGTAAGTGCGCTCATGCTCACTTACTGTTTGGAACAGTAATGTCCATTTATATCGGTGCAAAAAGTAGTTTTTCTGTAGTAAACCTCATATGCAATTCATTCTGTTTTCCATTGCTTAAAAAAACATGGAAAAACATGTAATATTGCTGACTTGCCTCTCCACAGATCAGGCATGTGACTGTGACCATAGAGACAAGCAGGTGACAGACCCTCCTTTAAATAGTGATGGATACAATAGTATGTAGTCATGTTATTTTGCAAAGTGAGTTTTGACTTTTAATTTATTTTTTCTTTCTTTTTTTTTTAAATGAATTTTTAAGATGAAATTGTTTGTTTCAAGATTTTCAGTTGTCACAGCTCAAGAAAAACAAGCTTTCTTAAAGGGCTAAGAAAACTGAGTTGTGTTTTATTCACAGATATTTGAGTAATCCTGCGTTATTAGTCTGTCCACATCTCTAAAGAAACACAATCCATCCTTGAACAGAAATGGAAGCCTCAGACATCATCTGTCTCCTATTTACAACTCCAGCCTCAAACCTAAAACAAAGAGAACAACAAGGGCAGTCAGGTCAGGACAAGAGGTGTGAAAACACTCATTATGGACCTGAATGATTCTGCTAATCTGTCCCCACACTCAGGACAGATAAATAGACCAAGCTAACAAACAAAAACTGTAAACAAGTAATGTGTTAGTTTCAGAGAAGTTTCAGTGTAGTTAGCTCCTCCCTACAGCAGATATAAGGAAGTGTCCACCAGCGTCTGACCACAACTGAAGAAGCAGCTTAGATGAGCTGAGAAACGTTTTCAACCCAAATAAATGTTTGTCCAGTTGACAGATTGAATTTCTCCTTTGTCTTACATCACCAAAGCTCAAAATGCTCTATTCAACCTCGTGATGTCATGTAGTGGTAGTTTTCAAGTGAACAGCTCCTTTTACGTTTTAGTTCAGTAGAGATGGGCAATTCTAGGGCTGAAATGATCCAAATGATTCTAATGAAGGTGTATGGAGTTTAAAAACACAGTGGAGCACTTCCTGTATTACCATGTGAGGTACAAGGTGGAACAGAGTGTTTTCTGTTTGAGAGAAGAACTCAGCCTAAATGTGCATGGGCTGAGTGTTAAACATGTGTGAATGAAACAAAATACAACTCCAGGTCTGTTTGTGATGAGGAAACAACATTATAATGACATACTGTAGTTCAGAAAATAGCGTGATTTGGTCCTTTTAAACTCACATGTTCCTTTTGTAGTTGTCTGTAAACTAATAGTGATTGCATAACACTTAAGTAACTTGTTTTTATCAGCTTGTAACAAAAGGCTGGCACTGCTAGGCCTCGATACCATCTGAACATAGACAGTATCAGGTAGCTTTAATTGTACCTAGATTGGACACAGTGTCTCTTGGGGCTTATCGGAGGCAGCTTACAGTTAGCGGGCGATTCTTCTTAAGTGTATTGCTTTTGTTTGCGTGATGTGAGTATGGCCCGTGTACAGTGTGCGGGCTTACCTCTCCGTAGCCCTGTATCAGAGGTAACTGGAGTGTTCAATCTGTCCTCATACAGACCCATGCACACAGAACAGAGGCGGATCGAGTGACATCGGCTGAAATATTAAATAGTCTTGAAAAGTGGCAACCAGATTCCTCCATGCGTTTGTATTGTCAATATTAATGATACAGAGACAGTGACATGTTGAAATAAGGGCTGAGGAGGTGACAGGAACAGTCAAGGGCGGACGGTGAGTTTGAAACATTATATTTGGTCCTTTAAGGTCCTATAGTACAAGGAACTGACTCTTGTGAGCTTTAAGTCATTTTATAATGTTGTTCCCTCCTCAAAAACAGACCTGGAGTTGTGTTTTGTTTCATTCACACATGTTTGAATAACTTTATTATTAATCTGTCTACATCTCAAAAGCTCTTTTAATTTCAAAAAGCTTTAAACTTTTTTCTGATGAATGCAAAATCTTGACTTTTGCATTGGTACTAATACAAATACTTCTACTTTTTTATTTTCATGTACAGATATATTACATACTTAAACACAAATGATCCTATTTGTCAAGCTTAAATACATTTTCTGGTGAAGAGTACACCGTTTGCTTGTCTATATGGAGATGATGTCATAGTTTTGCTCCTGGAATGTTCCAGAGTATAATCTGTCTACATCTCCACAAGCTCAAAATGCTCTGTTCCACCTTGTGATGTCATGAAGAGGTAGTTTTCACATTAACAGCTCTGTATATCTTTTGTTTAATACAGACTGGCAATTCCAGGGCTGAAATTATCCAAATGAGCCCAGCAAACTGTAGCTGTTCACTTGAAAACTACCACTACATGACATCACAAAGTGCAACAGAGCATTTTGAGCTTTTAATATGTTCATTTAGTTAGTTTAGTTTATTTATTTAATGAGACAGGGACAGTGCACAAGCTACATGAACATTAACGGGAGAGATGTTTGTTCCAGGTTGTAGCACCAGTGCACATTTCCACCTGTCGTCCCTGGGCAGGTTCATTGATTGATTGTATTTAAGTGACTTTAGCTATCAGCTGTTCTTCCTGGAGATCTATGTAGCATGTTTTGGGTTTTGGGTTGGTATAGAGATTAATAATAAAGAGTTACTCAAACATGTGAATGAAACAAAACACAACTCCAGGTCTGTTTTTGAGGACATAAAACATTCTAAGATGACTAAAAGTTCACATCAAGAGTCAGTTTTGTATAATATAGATCCTTTCACAGTGTGGCAATAAACAACTATTTTTATAGAGACAAGTAGATGACATCACCAGGCTAAGTACAGGTCAGATCTGTGAAGAGGCTACCTCTCATACAGTTCTATAAGACATACAGTTCTTATACAGCCCAGGTATTTATTTTAGCAGTAAAGTCACCTATATGCGAATAAATGCTAGATCAAACATGTCAGTAGTTGTCACAAGCTTCTGTGTGCTATTGAGGATCTAAACTTTTTTAGTCATAAATGTACATATTTCAGTATTTGACTGTACTGAGCACGTCTATGGCAGTTCATCAACTCAGTCTGTGTCCCTCCATCAGCCCTCTGTCTCATCGATGTTTGATATGTGACCCTTGGTGAAAAAAGGTTAGACACCCCTGTACTAGATCAATTTAATGCCATACTGCGAAACATTCCACTCAAAAAACAAAACAAAACAGTGAAGACTTCTTAGATAGCATGGCACACCCCCCACCAGAAAACTTACACAGTGCAGCTTTAAGCATTTAAGAGAAGTAAATATGTGAAAGAGAACCACCTGAGATAGTGGATAGTTTAACTAATGTTTAACTTTTAAAAAACACACACATGTTAATACAAATAACAACTGAGAAATGACTTCTTTTATATGTTTTTACTTCAACTGTAAAAAATCCTGACAGTTCTCAGTACAAATGGTTCTTGTGTCGTCTGCACTTTACATGATATTAAACGTAACAATGGAGGTGGATTCCATCACACATTAAAGGTCCTATATTATGCATTATTCTAAATTCTTTAAGTACTTTTGGACACCTTAGTGATATTTCACAATCACAGCTTTAAATGTAAATCTGTTTAGGGCCCAAGTTATTCAAACTTTATCTCTGAGTATCGAAAAAGCTGGCATCAGGTGGAACCAGTGTTTTGATCTGAGAAAGATGGACAAAATATGAAAGATACAACAACATCTAGTACAAAAAAAGTACAAAAAAAGTAAAAAAGTAAAAGTAGATTTGCTTTTGATTATTTTTTTAAAAATCTATGTTTTAATGTAGTTTCCTCGTCACAAACAGACCTGGAGTTGTGTTTTGTTTCATTCACATGTTTCACACAGGCTCACCAGATTTTCTAAATAAAAAACTTGGACATCCCTGGTTTGTGTTGGTTGGTAATAATAAAATTGTGAAACGAGGACATAATTAAGGAAAATTTTTATGTACTCGGCACTAATGTTAAATACACATTTTCACAGTTTCTTTGTGTTTTGGTCATTTTTAAGCAGCTTTTCTGTATTTTACCTAAACAAATGACAGTTTATGTCTCTCTTTACTGTCAGCAAGGAATCAGATTGGTCAAAAATAGGGACACTATTCTCTTATATATATCTATATAATTTATTTTATAAAACGATGACAAAACAGTGGTTTTGTGTAAATCTGCTGGGACAGGGGACACAGGGCTCATAACTGTCCCAAGTAAACAGGGACATTTGGTCACTGTACTTTAATTCACAAATTGTGTGTTCTTCTCTTAAACAGAGTTTGAGGTTCTTCTCTCAAACAGAAAACATTCTGTTCCACCTTGTGATGTCATGTGGTAATACAGAAAGTGCTTTATTGCATTTTGAAAGGATTAACTTCAGGTCTGTTTATAATGAAGTAACAACATTCTAACACATGTGTCTCCAACCTGTAGCTCAGGAGCCACCAGCAACTCTCCACCTCCTGCCAAACAGCTCACCAAAGAAATTCTCAATTATAGGTTTTGTGCTGAATAACTAAAATTGGATTAATAGAATGACTGTTAAAATCATAAATGTATCATGTTCATGCCTAACTTTACTTTCTGTACTAATAAATGGATAATGGTGTATGTTTTATACGTCTCTAACTGTTCTAATCTAAGGTCTTAAATTGAGTGATTACTCAATTTCTTGTGGCTGCTAAAATAAGTAGCTCTCTCGCATTTTCTTTTTGTAATGGTAGCTCCAAAGGAAAAAAGGTTGGAGACCCCTGTTCTATCACGTCTTAAATCTCACAAGAGTCAATTTCACGTAATATAGGGCCTTTAAATTCATGATTTTGACATTTGGCACCATGTGTTTTGGAATCCTTTGGAAGTACATTTCACATTATTGTAAAAAGCCTCACGCACATGCCCAGAGAGTGGTCAGTAGTCCATTCCGTGGTCAGTAGTCCATTCCGTGCAGCCTGTTCTTTCGGTCTGGTTTCTGCAGGGCGGGGGGCAAAAGGGGCAGGTTCAGATCAGTCAGTCCTCTTTGTAAACTCGCTCTTAACTGCACCGAGTTCCTCTTCACCCCTCCTCCACCCACTACCCTGTCTCCAGCCATACCTGTCCCTCCCACCACCGACAGCTCTCTCCTCTTGCCCCTGTCTTGCCTCAAACTCTTAAAAACCAGCGTGTGTTGTCTGGATGGGAACACGGGAGGTTTTGAGCCATTCACCAGTAGTCCCGGTGGTCCTGGTCTGGTCAGCCATGGCATTTTTCTACTTCTAGCATCTTTGAGCCCTACGTTTCTCAGTCTGGGGAGAGGAGACGGGGCTGTGTCCATGTGCTCTCTGTCCGCAGGGAGGGGGTCAACATCCAAAATCATCCTGGGTGAAACCGGGCCGTGATCCGTGGCGTAAAACGTCTGTAGCTTCTCCAGGCGCTCGCTGATGGGCAGGTGATGGTTGTCCTGGTTACGGTTGTCTTGGAAACAGTCAGCGGAGGCGGGGTTGGCAGTCGCCCCGTCGGATCGTGTGGTTCTGAGCAGGTGGGCGTGGCGCGAGGGACGGGTGGTGCTGCCGGTGCGGAGGGCGTCGGGGGCACCTGGCAGGGGGCGGAGTCACACAGCTGAGAGGCGGAGCTTTTGGGAGGAGACAGGTGCACCAGCTCTCGCTCTCTGAACACTGACACTGCAAAAACACACGAGACAAGGGGAATGACAGAAACTAAAGGTACAGTGTGTAACTTTCTGCAGGTGGCGCATCATCTGTATTATTCCATGTTAAAACCATATTTTGGAACATTCTCCATGGATAGATACATTTTATGTCACACTGTGGAAAATTATTGCTAAAGGAACTACAAGAAAAGCATTTGACCCTTCTACATTGGGGAGACACACTACAACAGCCCAGTGTGTCTCAGTTCAAGAAAACAGCTTCAAGAACAGAAATGATGCTAATTCACTGACACTTTTAAAAAACGTCTAAAAGAGGTACAAACAAAGAACATGGTGCAAATGAAAAAAAAGAGCTGCAAGAAACAAAGAAAAATGTGTCATCATTAAATGCTCCACAAATAAAGAAATGATACAAAGCACAAAGTGATGAAAACCAAGAAAACACCTGCAAATTGAAAAACCCTGCGTAAAGAGTCATCACAGTGGAAGTGTTCATCATTTGATGATGGTACCTCGTTTAAACTTGTGTTTGAGTTTGTGAATTTGCATTGTTTCTGTACTTGAAGCTGTTTCCTCAAACTAAGACTGGTTGCAGTGCATTTAGTCCCCATGGGGCACCATAACAAACTCAGCCAAAATGAAAACAACATGGTTAAAAAAGTGACATACTGTGGTTTTAAGCAATAAACTTGACAAGGTTTGAAAAACGTTATTCAAAATATTATAATGTTTTTTTATCTTTATGGCAAAAGTAGAAATTTATTTTGCCAAAAGATTATTTTGGTTGAATTTGTTTTGCAGCTCATCCAAGCAGCTTCTTCAGTTCTGGTGAAAATACTGGTGAACACTTCCTTGTATCTGCCTGAAGGGAGGAGCTGACCTGGCCCTCACTATTGTTTTCTTTATTTGTTACAATAGGGGCAGCCAGGTCAGGCCCAGAAGTTTCACACCTCGCACCTCTTATGGCCCTGAATGATTCTGTTAATATGTCCCCACACTCAGTGCAAGTTCAACCTGGTCTAGTAGCTAACAGAAACTGTAAACAAAAAGTGTTAGTTTCAGACTAGTTTTGGTGTAATTAGCTCCTCCCTTCAGGCAGGTATACAGCAGTGTCCACCAGCGTCTGACCACAACTGAAGAAACAGCCAAACAAATTCGACCTAAATAAACGTTTATCCAGTTGACAAATTGAATTTCTCCTTTTGTCATGGATTCTACCTGAACGACTGAGGGATTGTACATACATTTTTTCTTCTATCTCAAACATATTATAATATAATATATAATAGAGTTTATAATTTATAAAATACTAACATTGAGATAAAAGGCACAGGGTGGTCTAATTTTTGTTTCCTTTACAACATTACAATATACTACTGTATATGTAATAATAATAATTGAACTTCCATGATTTTAGATTTTTGTGTTATAGTTAACCATAATAATAAAACTACATTATAATTATTATTACTTTTTTTTTTTTTTTTTAAAGAATTATTACAGTTAGTGTGTAAATGTTGTTCATATTGCCTATTTTTTCACTGGATGCTCTTACTAAATGGTGTACAGTGTGGATTTACCTTCAGGAAACAGTGGTTCTTTTGGCTCCAGTGTGAAGTCCAGCTCCTCTTCCTCCTCCCCGAGAGGAGCTGGGGAGGGGGAGGGCTCCCGCAGGGGCTGGGAGGGGGAGGAGGGGTGAGGCAGGTGGGGCAGTGAGGGCAGAGAGGGGGGTGAGGGCGGAGAGGGGGAGGGGGGCTGGTTCTCATCCTGCTCCTTCACCACGTCTCTGTCCACTGTCTGTGCTGGTCTCTGAGGTCTGCTGCTCTGTTTGGAGGATTTTTCATCTGAGGTGTTCTTCTAGAAAAACAGAGAAATAAAGTCTAAACAAAACATAAACGATCTTTAAAGGTCCTATATTACACTAAACTGACTCATGTGAACTTTAAAAGGACAGTCCTGAATTTTGGACTCATTTTCTAGTGAGCCAGAGTGTTGGAGACGTGTGGAGACACTTTTTGAAATATTCCATCCAGTCCTTGTATTTGCAGAGGTCGCTGGTGTTAGACTAGTGCATGTCAATGGCCATAGTTCTCCTGACACTAAAAACAGTCTTACCCACTCCACAAAACACCCCCAAACAAATCTGTTGATAGAATAATTTTAGTAAAACCAACCTTGCATTTGAAGGATTTCTGTCTGAGCAGCAGTAAGTTGTTCTTCCTGATAGAAAGCTCGGCAACAGCGGACTGATATATGAGAAAATAGTCCCTCAACATGCGACGATTCATGCGATACAAGGTTAGTTTTACTTCAAACATTATTCTGTCGACACAGACATTCACATGGACAGTCTGGTGTAATAATAGATTTGTTTTGGGTGTTTTATGGAGTGGGTAAGACTGTTTCTAGTGGCAGGAGAACTATGAGCATTGACATGCACTAGTCTAGCACCAGTGACCTCTGGGTCCGGTCAAGTGGTAACGGAGGGAAAAAGGGGCAGATTTTTGACATTCAAATAGCTCTTATACAGAAACCAGAGGGACTATTGAAATAAGTAAAGTATCAGAATGTAGGAAAGAGTTAACACTCCAACAGGGTAAAGTTAAACCTGTGATATTCTTTCAAGTTGTTGACAAAAAATTAAAAAACTCATGTCGGTAAAGGAGGGAATGAAATATGCAGCACTTTTTGGGCAATAAATACAAACAGTGATAACTAGTGGTTCTCACTTCCATATCCTTAACAAACTGGTTTGAATATTTGCTTCACATAATTTTCTACCATATGGTACAAGATTAGGTTGAAAAACCTCTTACTTTTTGAGTCATGAGATTTTTTATTAAGAAAGGTCATGGTAACGGAGGGAAAAGTAACGGAGGGAAAATTGTTAAAGCAAGTAGAAGGTGCATGATTTTACATAATTTGTCAACTTTTTTCTTCTGAATACTTTAATATTACTTCAAAATGAAAGGAAACTATTTCTATAAAATATGTCAGTCCTTCCAAGCAAATTTTTATCATTTTAAACACTTTTTTTTTTTGAAAAATCATGTACCTTCATCAACAGTTCAAAGATCAAATAACACAAGATATGATGAAATACATCCATTTATTTACATGATTTGCAGGTCTTTGAAATTTGGGAAATAATTTTTGTTCCATGTTTCATACATGGTCTGTTTAAAACGTATGGAACTTTAGAACCAAAAATGGTACAGAAAAAAGGTCAACAGTTTCATAAACTAGAGTACATATGCTATCTGTTCAATACATTTTTATATCAGATGCATTAACTTGAATTTTTGGCCTTGCTGTTTACTTCTGCTTGACTGGGCCCCTCTGCAAATACAAGGACTGGATGGAGTATTTCAAACAGTGTCTCCACACATCTCCAACACTCTGCCTCACAAGGAAATTAGGTCTTATGTCCAAAATTCTGGACTGTCCCTTTCATGTTAAAGTGTTCTTCCCTCGTCAAAAACAAACCTGGAGTTATGTTTTGTTTCATTCACACATGTTTGAGTAATCCTCTATCATGAGTCTGTTTACATCTCCAAAGCTCCAAACGCTCTGTTCTGTCATGAAGTAGTAGTTTTTGGGTTAACAGCTCCTTTAGTTCAGTAGAAATCGTCAATTCCAGGGCTGAAATAATCCAAATGATTCTAATGAAGGTGTATGAAGTTTAAAAACACAGTGGAGCACTTCCTGTATTCACAAGGTGTCACAAGGTGTTTTTTTGTGTGACAGCAGGGTTTGTGTGTTAAACATGTGTGAATAAAACAAAACACAACTCCAGGAATGTTTGTGATGAGGAAACTACATTAGAACCTTAGGACCTTTAATTTATAGGACGTTGACTATGTTTAGACAATTTTATGGCAGTCCTTTTTACATGTACTAAAAGCACGAGAGCAAGGATAAAATACTTCGCACCGTGATGAATAATCAGCTAAATAAAAATGTAAACTTTACAAAATGTAGCTACAAACCCAAAAGTACGGCGTGTGGAAGTCCTACCTGTTGTCCTTTTATTTCACTCCCAGTTCTCTCTCTCCAGGTGTTCTTGGTCGGTAACGTCCACTCATTTTCCAATTTCTATCAAAAAACAACATCATGTTAAAGGTGCACTGTGTAACTTTTTGTTTGGGGGGTCCAACACCTTGTTTCTATGGAGATGTCACTACTCCACCTGGAATGTTCCACAGTGTGAAGTTAAACAGCTCTACTTTACATTTATTCAGTTACAGCTTAAAAATACAGGCATTCTGACTGTGAGCGGGGTGGCCTCTCCACAGATCTGACCTGTAATGTGGCCTTCATGAAGACTGAAAGGTTTAAAGCCATACTGCGAAACATTCCAGACAAAGCAATAACATCTCCATGGTGAAAAGCATCTGACAGAGCCTCCACCACAAAAGTTACGTTATGAATCTTTAACATTTTTCAACAAAATAAAAATGAAATCAAAGTTTGTCAGTATCTGTGAGAAAACCTTGAGGGTCTTGGCTCCCTTCTGGCTGCGGGTGAACTTGGCGAGGAGCAGATGGTAGTAGGCCATGATGGGCGAGGGCCTGTGATTGGTCAGTGTGTGGATGACATCAGAGAGGGCGTAACCCAGCGTGTCCGTCATGTAGGTGAGCACAGATGAGTTTAAGTCTTCTGGGCAATACCTGGACACAACACGGACCACTCATGTATTAGTAAAGATAAAAGAGAGCTGTTAATGTTGACAGAAAATGTGTACGTGACAAGATAATCTAGACCACAGGTGTCAAACATACGGCCCGGGGACCAGATCCGGCCCTCCAAGACCTTTAATCTGGTCCTCGGCTGATTTTCTACTAATATTATATATATAATAATATATATTTTAATTATATTTTCTAATAAAATATTGGTAATTTTCTGCGGTGCTTATCATAGCAGCATCTCCAGCACCTCAGAGACAGCACAAATGAAGACTTGTCTTTTTCCAAACCCTCTTAAAAGTGGACGCCAAGTTCAGGATTTTCTAAGAAAAATTTACTTATTCCTGTTTGCATACAAGTTCATGTTAAAACATTGTGTTGAAATTGCATTTTTCTTAAAGTTTCAGGTTGTTCATAATATTATAATATTTTGTAAAAGAAAGAGTTCATCAATTAAAAAAAGATTTCTGTAATAGATTTGTGTTTCTCCGCACAAATATTTGAACTTATTGTTATTTTTGAGGTTTATATGCCATGAGTTTTCTGATCCGGCCCCTTTGGGATCAAAGTAGGTTCAATATGGCCCCTGGACCAAAATGAGTTTGACACCACTGATCTAGACTGTTTTATAAAAGTAACTCAAACATTTTTATACCAGTATAAACTAGTACTAAAACAGGGGTCTCCAACCTTCCATCACAAAATTAAAATGAGACAGAGAGCTTACTCATTTTAGCGGCCGCAAGAAATTGAGTCATTATAAGAGCCACGGCCTGAAATAGAAACAGTTAGAGGCGTATAAAACATACATCATTATCCATTTATTAGTGCTGAAAGTAAAGTTAGGCATGGGAATTATACATTTACAATTTTAATAGTCATTCTATTCATCAAATTTTAGTTAATTATGATTCAGAAATTCTTTGGTGAGATACTTGGAAGGAGGTGGAGAGCTACAAGTTGGAGAGCCCTGTACCAAAATATAAATTACTTCTAGCTTCTATTGCTCAAATCAGTGTTTCCCAAACCTTTTTTTCTGGGGACCCATATTTTAAAAGTCACAAACCTTCATGACCCAAAGTCAATACACATTCACTAGCTAGGACCACGCCAACAACAACATAGTGCGAAGAAGTTTATTGATAATGCATGAAACGGGGCAAAGATGTCTGGGTTGAGACTATGGGTGGGGCTCCGTCTCAATCTGCAATTGGCCCATCCAGAACAGGACCCCCCTTGTAGGGGTCTTATGACTGAAAGACAAAATAGGGGAATGGAGGGTGGGGGTCGAGTTAGCCGAGACAAACTGGGATGATGGGAAAGGCTGATACATATAGGCTTCTGGGAAATTCGAGGCGTGGTGGGGGTGAGTTGTGGTTCGCTGGTGAGAGGAGAGGGCGGCTGAGGTGTGGTCCTGCTCCTGAATCTCACTTAATCATATTAACTACATTTATTTGTAAATCACAAATTAAAGGTGGATTTGATCATTATTGAACATTAATGAGGATATTTTATTGTTGACAGAGTGATCGTGTCTCTGAACAATTACGTTTGAAACAATGAAAATCAGTCATTGAAGCAGCAATAAAAGGATAAGTCGCCTGTTTGGACATTAAACGTAGCCCATTTCTTTTTCTTTTCAACATACAATTGAACCAGCAACACCGGAACAAAATAGTCAATAAAATAATTACAAACAGATTAGAAATGACACAAAACATGTCTTAACATTTCAGCATTTCCAGTGAGATAGGTGGGTCTGTTCTAGTCTGGGTGCAGTAGGAGAGTGCAACATGCAGATCAGTGTCAGAACTGTACATTGCAGATCTACATGCAGATCGTGACAAGGCGACCCACCTGAGGGCCCCAGTCTTTGGGAAACAGTGGCTTAAAGGACCCATGTTACCTTACTACTATTTTCTGATCTCTGTTCTAATGTAGTTTCTTCATCACAAACAGACCTGGAGTTATGATTTAGACTGAGTTTTTCTCTCAAACTGAAAACTAGAGAGAGCTAGAATCACACTGCCAACCTGTGGGTCAGTGGATCTAAATTCTCAAACAAATATATTTATGTCAAGAGTGGGATTCAAACCGTCAACCTTTGGATCAGTGGAGAAATGCTCTACCAACTGAACCACTGTCGCTTTAAACTCCACACACCTTCACAAGAATCATTTGGATCATTTCAGCCCTTGACTTGCCAATTTCTATTGAACAAAAGGTAAAAGGACATCACAAGGTGGAACAGAGCATTCTGAGCTTCAAAGATGTAGTCAGACTGATAATAAAGTGTTAAATATGTGTGAATGAAACAAAACACAAGTCCAGGTCTGTTTGTGATGAGGTAACAACATTCTAACACGTCTTAAAGAGTCTATTTTGCGTGATATAGGACCTTTAAATATATCATAAAGCTGGTTCTGGTTGGAAAATGGGAATTGTAAAACTGTTGAAATCCCAAACTTGTAACATTTCCTTCATGTTTTGTTGTATAGTTTGACACTGTGACCTCCCCAGTCTGAATGTAAGAATAAGTAGTAAAGTATTGTAACAGTGACAAAGAGAGGAGAGGCCAGTTTTATTCTTGTGGCTTAGAGAGAATGTCTTTTGACCAGAGGAGACACCCATGAGTGCATTTCCACGCTGTGTAAAGCACCGAGCCGCCTTTAGCTCAGCTGTAATACACAAAACCCCACCACAGGAATTTTCATTTTGTTTGAGAAATTCAGAGTCATTTCCTCTTTTCTTCCTCTGCCCGCGGTGTGATGTGGGAGGACTTCACTTGTCTCCACTCATTGTCTTCATCTGGTGGCTTATGAGACACTAGTTTTGTTGTGGCATGAGAGTTAAAAGACACTTATTAGGGTTTTAGTTTCCTGTTTTATGCAACATTTGAAGACATTTTCCAATTAAAAGAAATAGTTTTTAAATTGTTAATTGGTGCCCAGCAAAACCTGGAGGGTTAAAATTTCAAGGTAAAATATTTCAGAGTTGTTTTTAACACAAAAATGTTACTTTAACTATAAGTTAAATGGAGGTTGGAGTTGGGGTTATTTGCCAGAGCTGATTTGGTTAAAGTTTGGTTGGTTCATCTTCCCTTAGTGTTATGCCTTCCATCCACCACTTCAAACTCTCGTGAGAGAAGACCAGTTTGAACCAGTTTTGTTCATAATTTAATCTTAAATTAACTCAAATAAAGTGTAAAAATAAAACCCCTCTGTGTGTTGTTTAGTTAAATCAGGATAACCTTACAAAGTATTATTCATTTACTCTAAAAATGTTCATATAACTCTGGATTTCGGGGGTTAAATAGGAACTTTGGTCCAGTGTTACTTTAACATTTGTGTTAAATTAAATTAACTCTAGCACATATTGGACTCACATAAACCCAGAGAGTTAAAATTGATTCTGTGAGTCAATTTTAACACTCCATTTTTTGTTGTGTGGGTTCAGACTTGAGTCAGACTCTGGACTCTGGATTCAACTTGGACTTTGACTTGAGAAGACTTGATGCTTCTCCTCAAAAAGTATATGTTTTTAGAAAATAACTTTCTCTTTACAGTTGATACATGCAGTTCTTCATTTTACAGAACAAACTAGAACATGTCCCTCCCACTTCACTATTTGTTACTATGGCAACCGTAATTGAAGTACTGTGATATTAGATCATCAATTGTCTTACAGTATTATACAGTAACACAGAGGGAACTACATAGACCATGATCCTTTGCTTCATTTCAGTGCAGAATACATGAGAAAATAACTGCACTTTTAATTCTTAATTCTTTCTATAATGAACAAAATAATTCACACTAAACTAACTTGAAGCTCAGAGCAGAGGACTTGGACTAGACTTATATTGTGGACCACTCACTCGGGGCTCGATTTGGTTTAAAGGTGAACCCTCCACCCGAAAAGTTACACAGTGCACCTTTAACAAATGAACAAATAACACATCAAAATTTAACCTAAATATCTAATAAATAATACCACTGTTTTTACAGTTTTAACCATCCTTGACTGTAGTTGTGTTACACTGTTCTTGTGTAATGTGTGGAGGTTGTAATTGTGTTACACTGATCTTGTGTAGCGTGTGGAGGTTGTAGTTGTGTTACACTGTTCTTGTGTAGTGTGTGGAGGTTGTAGTTGTGTTACACTGTTCTTGTGTAGTGTGTGGAGGTTGTAGTTGTGTTACACTGTTCTTGTGTAGTGTGTGGAGGTTGTAGTTGTGTTGTACACTGTTCTTGTGTAGTGTGTGGAGGTTGTAGTTGTGTTACACTGTTCTTGTGTAATGTGTGGAGGTTGTAGTTGTGTTACACTGTTCTTGTGTAGTGTGTGGAGGTTGTAGTTGTGTTACACTGTTCTTGTGTAGTGTGTGGAGGTTGTAGTTGTGTTACACTGTTCTTGTGTAGTGTGTGGAGGTTGTAGTTGTGTTACACTGTTCTGTGTGTAGTGTGTGGAGGTTGTAGTTGTGTTACACTGTTCTTGTGTGTAGTGTGTGGAGGTTGTAGTTGTGTTACACTGTTCATGTGTAGTGTGTGGAGGTTGTAGTTGTGTTACACTGTTCATGTGTAGTGTGTGAAGGCTGTAGTTCTGTTACACTGTTCTTGTGTAGTGTGTGGAGGCTGTAGTTGTGTTACACTGTTCTTGTGTAGTGTGTGGAGGTTGTAGTTGTGTTACACTGTTCTTGTGTAGTGTGTGGAGGCTGTAGTTGTGTTACACTGTTCTTGTGTAATGTGTGGAGGTTGTAGTTGTGTTACACTGTTCTTGTGTAGTGTGTGGAGGTTGTAGTTTGTGTTACACTGTTCTTGTGTAGTGTGTGGAGGCTGTAGTTGTGTTTACACTGTTCTTGTGTAGTGTGTGTGGAGGTTGTATTTGTGTTACACTGTTCTTGTGTAGTGTGTGGAGGCTGTAGTTTGTGTTACACTGTTCTTGTGTAGTGTGTGGAGGTTGTAATTGTGTTACACTGTTCTTGTGTAGTGTGTGGAGGTTGTAGTTGTGTTACACTGTTCTTGTGTAGTGTGTGGAGGCTGTAGTTGTGTTACACTGTTCTTGTGTAATGTGTGGAGGTTGTAGTTGTGTTACACTGTTCTTGTGTAGTGTGTGGAGGTTGTAGTTGTGTTACACTGTTCATGTGTAGTGTGTGGAGGTTGTAGTTGTGTTACACTGTTCTTGTGTAGTGTGTGGAGGTTGTAGTTGTGTTACACTGTTCTTGTGTAGTGTGTGGAGGTTGTAATTGTGTTACACTGTTCTTGTGTAGTGTGTGGAGGTTGTAGTTTGTGTTACACTGTTCATGTGTAGTGTGTGGAGGCTGTAGTTGTGTTACACTGTTCTTGTGTAGTGTGTGGAGGTTGTAGTTGTGTTACACTGTTCATTGTGTGTAGTGTGTGGAGGTTGTAGTTGTGTTACACTGTTCTTGTGTAGTGTGTGGAGGTTGTAGTTGTGTTACACTGTTCTTGTGTAATGTGTGGAGGTTGTAGTTGTGTTACACTGTTCTTGTGTAGTGTGTGGAGGCTGTAGTTGTGTTACACTGTTCTTGTGTAGTGTGTGGAGGTTGTAGTTGTGTTACACTGTTCTTGTGTAGTGTGTGGAGGTTGTAGTTGTGTTACACTGTTCTTGTGTAGTGTGTGGAGGTTGTAGTTGTGTTACACTGTTCTTGTGTAGTGTGTGGAGGTTGTAGTTGTGTTACACTGTTCATGTGTAGTGTGTGGAGGCTGTAGTTGTGTTGTACCTGTTCTTGTGTAGTGTGTGGAGGTTGTAGTTGTGTTACACTGTTCTGTTCTGTGTAGTGTGTGGAGGTTGTAGTTGTGTTACACTGTTCTTGTGTAGTGTGTGGGAGGTTGTAGTTGTGTTACACTGTTCTTGTGTAGTGTGTGGAGGTTGTAGTTGTGTTACACTGTTCTTGTGTGTAGTGTGTGGAGGTTGTAGTTGTGTTACACTGTTCTTGTGTAGTGTGTGGAGGTTGTAGTTGTGTTACACTGTTCTTGTGTAGTGTGTGGAGGTTGTAGTTGTGTTACACTGTTCATGTGTAGTGTGTGGAGGTTGTAGTTGTGTTACACTGTTCTTGTGTAGTGTGTGGAGGTTGTAGTTGTGTTACACTGTTCTTGTGTAGTGTGTGGAGGTTGTAGTTGTGTTACACTGTTCTTGTGTAGTGTGTGGAGGTTGTAATTGTGTTACACTGTTCTTGTGTAATGTGTGGAGGTTGTAGTTGTGTTACACTGTTCATGTGTAGTGTGTGGAGGCTGTAGTTTGTGTTACACTGTTTCTTGTGTAGTGTGTGGAGGTTGTAGTTGTGTTACACTGTTCCTGTGTAGTGTGTGGAGGTTGTAGTTGTGTTACACTGTTCTTGTGTAGTGTGTGGAGGTTGTAATTGTGTTACACTGTTCTTGTGTAGTGTGTGGAGGTTGTAGTTGTGTTACACTGTTCTTGTGTAGTGTGTGGAGGTTGTAGTTGTGTTCCACTGTTCTTGTGTAGTGTGTGGAGGTTGTAGTTGTGTTACACTGTTCATGTGTAGTGTGTGGAGGTTGTAGTTGTGTTACACTGTTCTTGTGTAGTGTGTGGAGGTTGTAGTTGTGTTACACTGTTCATGTGTAGTGTGTGAAGGCTGTAGTTGTGTTACACTGTTCTTGTGTAGTGTGTGGAGGTTGTAGTTGTGTTCCACTGTTCTTGTGTAGTGTGTGGAGGTTGTAGTTGTGTTACACTGTTCTTGTGTAGTGTGTGGAGGTTGTAGTTGTGTTACACTGTTCATGTGTAGTGTGTGAAGGCTGTAGTTCTGTTACACTGTTCTTGTGTAATGTGTGGAGGTTGTAGTTGTGTTACACTGTTCATGTGTAGTGTGTGAAGGCTGTAGTTCTGTTACACTGTTCTTGTGTAGTGTGTGGAGGCTGTAGTTGTGTTACACTGTTCTTGTGTAGTGTTTGGAGGTTGTAGTTGTGTTACACTGTTCTTGTGTAGTGTGTGGAGGTTGTAGTTGTGTTACACTGTTCTTGTGTAGTGTGTGGAGGTTGTAGTTGTGTTACACTGTTCTTGTGTAGTGTGTGGAGGTTGTAGTTGTGTTGTACCTGTTCTTGTACACTGTGTGTAGACTCTTCTTGCTGTAGCCCTCGTTGATCCATCTTTCGTCCAGAGCAGCTCGGACACTCGGCCGTTTGACTGGATCAGGCTCCAACAGGGAGAGAACGAAGGACACTGCACCTGCACAACAACACAGGCAGATAATAATCTATTTCAATGTCCTATATTACACCAAGCTGACTCTTGTGAGCTTTAAGACATGTTAGAATGCTGTTACCTCCTAAAAAACAGCCCTGGAGTTGTGTTTTTAAGTGATTATAAATATATCACTTCTTTTACCAGAGATTAGTCATAGTTTGGTGGTTTGATTGTTAATTCTGTAAAAATCGGTGCTGGTTCTTAGTCTTATGTAAATCTTTACATCAGTGATCTCTTACTGGGTTTAGTCTCTTCATTAATGATGCATAAGATGTCCAATGTTAAGTGAGGTTATCACAGCCTCTTGATTCCTACATCTTAGTTCTTATGTCTAGTTTCTTGGTAGTTTGCAGTTTGTAATTCTAGCTGTTATCCCGTGTGAAAGAAAACTCTGACCTTGTGCTCCTCATACAAGTCTATTGTTTATTTTACCAATTGGTGACCCAGCGCTTGGATGAGACAAATTTTTATCTTATATGTACTGTATGTATCATCCCTGTGTCTTATGCATTGCAATCTGTATGTTTTGTTCAACTTTTCAGTTCTTTTTATTTATTGATGTTTGCAGTCTAGAAATTCCACAACATTAGTCCTTTATGTAGTTTTTTCTCCTTTTTCATGTGCAAGCAGCCATGTTTTTTTGAGGTTATCAGAGCATGCGTCTCTCTGATTGGTTAATGTGCCTGTCAATCACCCCCCCTGAACTCAGGGAGAAGGACACAGCTCCAGATCCACTCGTCTGTGTAAAGTTTTGTCAAAGTGTGTGTTCTGGCTTCTTGAAATCACTTTTTTGTGTAATTATTCAAATGCTGGTCATGTATTGTGCTATTCCCACCTGTAAAACTATAAATGTTTTATACATCCTGTAGAGAGCATCACGTCTCATGAAAATTAGATATTGTGTCCAAAAGAGGGCACTTATGTTGACTTTCTCCTCTGTCTGTGTGATCCGATGGTGACAGTGTAAGTGTCTCTGAGCCCAACCTGAGACACATGAGCCCTGAGTGTGTGTGTGTGTGTGTCTGTGTGTGTATCTGTTTGTTTGGGCTTGACTGGTGCCAGACAGTGAGCTGTTCACTTGAAAACTACATCATCATGACATCACCAGGTGGAACAGAACATTTTGAGCTTTGGAGATGTAATCAGACTAATAAAAATTGTGAATTACACATGTGCTCCAGGTACATTTTTGAGGAAGTAACAATATTATAAGCTCACAAGAGTTCATTTTAATGTGTAATACAAGACCTTTATGCAAAAATGTTGGCTTGTACTTGTTATACTCATGTACCATTAGTATCACATAGTGGTCAATGAAATCTACAGTACAATGAGACAGGTAGAGTATACACAGTACATATGTGTGCAGACCTTTGCTTATGTCAGGGGGGATGCTGCTGATTTCTCCGTTCACCATTTTCTGATGCAGGTGTTTGATGTTGAAGGGCTCCACAGTGAAGGGCAGAGTCCCCGTCAACATCGCAAATGTACTCACCCCTCTGAAAACACACAGAGAAAGGATGGAGTTACATTACCAGGCAAAAACTCAGACTCATATATACAAACAGAGGACATCAGATATATGGAATAAATTTATGGAATTATTTAGCAAAGGTTATCAAATATATTTTATTACCAAATCCTTAAATTAGCCATACATTTTTCTTTTCTAAATAATTCTATATATCTTGTTTCATATATTTTATACCATCTGTATGTATATAGTTGGTAGTTTTCATATTCTAGATTGTGATGATTTGTGACCATGTGTCATATTCTCAGATGGAGGCAAGACCCAGTTTTCCCCATTGATTATATCCAAAAGGTAAATTCACAAATGTTGAACCTGGTGTTGACTAAACCCAAGAACTCACTATATCACAACATCATTTTGCATTTTAACAATATACATTTTAGCTGCTCCTCATCTGTATTCATTACTATTGTACTACAGAATGCTGTGATGTCATCTGAAACACAGCAATAATGCAGAAAGTAGTAAAAAAAATAAATAATAAAAAAGATTAAATGAGAGTGTGTGTCCAAATCTGACTGGCCCTGTATGTTTAAACAACTCTATGAAATATTTTTCGACAAAGCAAAGGGAGACTAATTTGAAGATATGAATATAAAATATTCAAGATAACTTTTTTCTTTGCTACATAATTCCATGGGTGAAAGTTTTCACAATGTTGCATGTGACAGGAACACCCCAGTCCATAATTATGGACAGAATTCTGCTCTATTTCAATAGCACCAAAGTGAAGAAATGATGTGGTGTGAGCCTGACTCTCACATGCTCAGTGTATTCATAATATTCATAATATATTGTAAGAGGAGTAACGCCCATCCTAATGTTTCAATTCAAATGCAATCTATAATATTATTTTAAATCATTAGAAAACCTTCCAAATAAACAAGTAAATGCATGTTATCAATTTATAAAAAACTTCAATTATCAGTCTATCTGTTATCTGTTTTCTTGTATGTATGTTTAGAATCATATGCAGTAAAAACACTATATTTCTCTTTAAGTCGAGCGTGTGTGTGTCACTTACACAGACCACACGTCGACCTTGGGCCCGTACTTCCTGTGTGCGAGCAGCTCTGGGGCGGCGTACGCTGGACTCCCACACTGAGTACTGAGCAGCTCCAGAGACAACGACTCAGGCTTCACCGTGTTACTGAGACCAAAGTCTGTCCCATGACAAAGAGACGGAGGGAATACACAAAAGAAATAAAGAGAGACTTGAGTTAAAACCAGATAACAGATATTTAGACTTATTCACATGTCACCTGTGGGTGTGTTTTTAACTTACTATGAACCATTATGTGTTCTTTATGAAGATTGATTTCAAAATCACAATATGTTGCACCTTTTTTCAAAACCAGTCAAAAGTTTGGACTCATTCAATGTTTTTTCTGTGTACTACTTTCTACATTATATATACATACACTACTGTTCAAAAGTTTGGGGTCACTTAGGAATTTCCTTATTTTTGAAAGAAAAGCACTGTTTTTTTCAATGAATATAACTTTAAACTAATCTGAAATACACTCTATACATTGCTAATGTGGTAAATGACTATTCTAGCTGCAAATGTCTGTTTTTTTATGCAATATCTACATAGGTGTATAGAGGTCCATTTCCAGCAACTGTCACTCCAGTGTTTTAATGGTACAGTGTGTTTGCTCATTGTGTCAGAAGGCTAATGGATGATTAGAAAACCCTTGTGAAATCATGTTAGAACAGGTGAAAACAGTTGAGCTGGTTAGAGAAGCTATAAAACTGACCTTTCTTTGAGCAGGTTGCGTATCTGGAGCATCACATTTGTGGGGTCAATTAAACGCTCAAAATGGCCAGAAAAAGAGAACTTTCATGTGAAACTCGACAGTCTATTCTTGGTCTTAGAAATGAAGGCTATTCCATGCGAGAAATTGCCAAGAAACTGAAGATTTCCTACAACGGTGTGTACTACTCCCTTCAGAGAACAGCACAAAAAGGCTCAAAGCAGAGTAGAAAGAGAAGTGGGCAGCTTGACCGTATGGACGCAAGAATTGCCCATCCAGCCAGTCCAACTTGTGGGAGGGGATTCTTGAAGCGTGGGGTGAAATTTCTCCAGATTACCTCAACAAATGAACAGCTAGAATGTCAAAGGTCTGCAATGCTGTAATTGCTGGAAATTGAGGATTCTTCGACGAAAGGAAAGTTTGAAGGAAAAAAAATATTATTTCAAATACAAATAATTATTTCTAACCTTGTCAATGTCTTGACTATATTTTCTATTCATTTTACAACTCATGGTGGTAAATAAAAGTGTGACTTTTCATGGAAAACACAAAATTGTCTGGGTGACCCCAAACTTTTGAATGGTAGTGTATTCCATATATAATTATAATTACAATTCCATAGATTAGTAGATTATTACTTCATATATTTGATGTCTTCTGTATGTTTATTAAATGCAGAAAGTATAGAACCATATCTAAAAAAAACAAACTAACACTGAATGTGACCAATCTAAACATTTGACTGGTCATGTAGATTTATATATTACATTTTTATATGTCTAAATAAACTGCCATTGGATTAAGAAAAATGAATTACCAAGTGTCTATTTGTAATGAAATGCAGACTAGACAAAAACTGCATTAATTATAATGTGGAGTTTTTTCATACCTACTATCTTGATATTGTTGTGTTCATCCAGGAGGAAGTTTTCAATCTTCAAATCCCTAAAAAAATGTACATGAGTCACAATTATGTAACAAAAAAAAAAAGACTTCTTCAGGACTTCTCGGGTGTTTTTGTGGAGATCTCCCTCAAATGTTTCAGCTTTACTCCATCTGCATATCTTCATCATTTTATTGCCCTCTTGTCCATCTTGCATCTATTCAGTTAAATGTATTTTATTACTGTGTCTGACCTTGAAACATAAATATTTTTGCTTTTGTCATCGCCTCTCCATAGATCTGACTTACTGTGGAACATTCCAGACAAAGCAATAATAACTGCATCTCCAAAAGAAAATTTACACCTTTAAATTTTTTTGTGTAATGTGTTTTTGAATTTTCACATACACTTTTACTTATTATTAAAGATCTTATATCACGCAAAATTGATTGTTGTTCCCTCCTCAAAAACAAACCTGGACATTCTAACATTCTAACATGAACAATTTATCCACAACTATCAAGAGAAGAAAGACGGAAGATTAAAGGAGAACGGCATATTAGTGATACACTGGATAAAATTAACTTCTTAACTCAAACTGATTCTACAATTAAATTACAATTAGTCTGAATTAAGAATTTAAGAAGTTGCCGATACGATACAGTTTTCAATACAGTGAACTTACGCTTTGATGCAGTTCGATACGATATAATTAAAATTGATTCAATATGGTTCAGTAAAAAATCATGGCTAAATCATGTCTGTGATACTAAAAGTCTTTGTTAAACCACTTCTTGTGCAAAGTTCATATGAAACACAAACATTTAAATCATCAAAACAGTGAAAATGTCAAATGTGTCGCATAAACGAGTTCCCTTCCTCTAAACGAGCAACAAAATTGTAGCTGTAACAAAATAATTTAGTAAAATATACCAAAAAAATACTCCCGGTGATACATCGTCGACACAGAATCCCAAGATATTGATATTGTATAAGCACATTAAACGATACGATATGTCGATATTTCAATATTTTTTGCACACCCCTAGTACGGAAACCGAGAGGGGTCACAACAAATGCAAACACCGCAACAAATACAAACGTGACAACACAACAAAAAGCCACAACAAACCAAAAAAAAAACAACGGAAATGACCGCGGGACTTTATTTTAATGCAAACACCGCAACAAATACAAACACCACAACACAAACGCAAAAGCCGCAATACATTAAAAAGCCACAACACATTAAAAAGCCACAACACATCAAAAAGCCACAACGGAAGTGACGGCGGGACTCTATTTTCCGACGGACCGATCAACTGGCAAGTGAAGAAGAACTACAACGGTGAAAAGTAAAGGAACGGAGAAGTTGGAAATGTAAGTAAAAGTAATTTATTGTTTTATCATTATTCGTTTCACCTTGTAGTTCTTCTTCACTTGCCGCTTGATCGGTCCGTCGGAAAATAGAGTCCCGCGGTCACTTCCGTTGTGGCTGTGGCTTTTTAAAGTGTTGTGGCATTTGTATTTGTTGCGACGTTTGCATTAAAATAGAGTCCCGCGGTCATTTCCTTTGTGGCTTTTTTTGGTGTGTTGTGGCTTTTTGTTGCGTTGTCGCATTTGTATTTGTTGCGGCGTTTGCGTTTGTTGTGACCCCTCTTGGCTTCTGTACCTAGACACTAGGCGCTGCATAGGCCTAAAAGGCGACAGGTGAAATTCTTCATGTTAGAATGTTTTTTCTTTGTGGAGCTTGTTGGTTGAAGATTTGGTGATGCAGCAGATTTATGAAGCTGCTGGAGAATACGACACACATTTACAGAGAAAAACATTAACCAGAAGTGACATTTGCCGTACAGCGGGACACTTCCAGCTGTTGTGAAAAAATTCTATTACTAGTATTAAGCTCAAATTGCTCTGTTCCACATTTTTTTCAAATTAACAGCTACATTGTACCTTAATTTCAGTAGAGATTGGCAATTCCAGGGCTGAAATGATCCAAAACAATTCTAGTGAAGGTGTGTGAAGTTTAAAAACACAGTGAAGCACCTCATGTACTTCCTGAACTTCCTGTTTTCTGTTTGAGAGAAGAACTCAGCCTAAATGTGCAGAGTTTGTGTGTTAAACATGACCGATACAAACACAACTCCAGCTCTGTTTATGAGGAGGAAACGACATTAGAACATAAATCAGAAATAGTGTCATACGGGCCCTTTAACTTCTTGCAGTACATTTCCGAGGGAGTGAATTACTGGCCCCAAAGTCTCAAAACCTTCATTTGTGTTGGTCAGAAGTCAAGTTTTAGAAAGACATCTTATTTGCAAAAGCTCGGCGTGGAGCTGGTTTATTTTGGCCTGTCAGTTCCTCTTAAATTTATATTAAACCCAACCGAAAATCTCCGTTAATCTCATTCACCTGGAAAAGTCCCCGAGTCGCCCAAAAGCCACCCACAATCCGCACTAAAACCTATAAGACTATCAAACTAAATGAAAATCTGTGGTTATGAAGAACAGAGATCTCCCTATAAACTCGCCACATGTTTTTTAGTACTCTTTTTTTAATCTGGAAATGCTCGCAGACCGTCAAAAAAACAGTTCGGAGCGCAGACAATTTCATACAAGAATAAAATTGTAAAAATGTGGGTGGCGGGAAGTGAAGAATTTCCATGTATTTGGCGTTTAATCTGAACTTTGGGAGCCATTTCATGAGGGACTTCATTAGAGAGGAAGTGCATGATGTCGTGATGATGTGTGAACCATGGCGCCGTCGCGGAAAGATGACCTCATCGCCTGTTAAGCGCATTTCCACCTTAAGAGAAGCCAAAGTATTAAACAAAGCACCTCCACATACTAAAATGCCATTATAAAAACACTCAAACTCCCACAATGCACCGTGGCACATGCGGCGTTTGGCTCTGGCTCGGTCCACGGGGGCTGATAATGCCCCAGAAACTGCCCCGAGTCTCACTGTGGATGTTATTCTGTTCTGCAAAAGCAACATGTGGATTTCAAAGTGCACTGTGTCACTTTTTGGTCGGGGGCCCGTCACCTGCTCGATTCCATGTGTATGTCATCACTCTGTCTAGAATGTTCCACAGTGTGACACTAAACACCTTACATTTATTCAATTACAGGTGGTTTTATAGCTCAAAAATCCTTGAAAAATAGACATTCTGACTGTGAGCGGGGTCGCCTCTCCACAGATCTGACCTGTAACTTGGTCTGGTTTGGTCTTCATGAAGATTGAAAGGTTTAATGCCATACTGTGGAACATTCCAGACAAACAGGAGCGACTGGCAATCTGTGCGCACTAACAGCAGAGGGAGCTAGTAGAGCTGGTATCATTTAAGAAGTTGCAGATATGATACATACCTCCATACATAGGCCACGATACGATACGGTTTTCAATACAGTGAACTTAAGATTTGATACGATTCGATATGATATAATTAAAACTGATCCAATATGGTTCAGTAAAAAATAAAGTCTAAATCATGTCTGTGATACTAAAGTCTTTGTTAAACCACTTCTTTTGCAAAGTTAAAATGAAACACAAACATTTTAATCATCAAAACAGTGAAAATGTCAAATGTGTCGCATCAACGAGTTTCCTTCTGCTGAACAAAAAACAAAACTGTAGCTGGTACTAAATAATTTAATAAAATATACCAAAAAATACTCTTGGTGATATATTGTCGATACAGAATCCCAAGATATCGATACTGTATCAGCACAAACGATACAACATATCGATATTTCAATATTTTTACACTCTCCTAGGCTCTAGGTGCTGCATAGGCCTAAAAGGCGACAAAGAAGAGTGGGTCAAGAATTTGCAGAAATAGATAAAAAAAAAAACAACATAAAACATAAAAACACAAAATAGAGTTTTCCCAGGAAATATATAAATGGGTCAGTGACATGATGTTTAGAGTTAATGCTGTATTAGTGTAAATTGTGAAATTCTTCAAAACTTTAAGAAAACAAACTAACAAAATTAATGGCGATTTATTTTATGTAAAATGTAATTAAATAAAAAATATATGTCTGTTGCACCAAATGACATTTTTTAAGACATCCTGAGCTTTAAATGCAGACTTTTTTTTTTTTTTTCCAAAGTTTTTTTTTCAAAGGGCATAAATGAAATATTAAAATATACACTTAAATATACCAAAAAATCTACCAGTGATGTGCCACCTCCAGAAAGTTGCTTTGATTTTATATATATATTTTAAATTATCTTATTGTTATCTTATATAATCTTATATTTATATAAAATACCTGGATTTGTATTATATACAAAATACCTGGAGTTGTGTTTTGTTTGATTCACACAGTTGAGAGTTCTTTAAGTTCTTGGGTTCTTTTTAAAGACCATACAGTAAAGTGTATTTACCTTAGAAAGAACCCAAGAAGTTAAAGTATATAAGAAGACAAAATGAACATCTTTGGCTTAGTTGAGAGTTCTTCTCTCAAACAGAAAACACTCTGTTCCAACTTATCAAAGTTTTATCAAGGGGCATATACCTAATGATAAAATACACACTTAAATATACCAGAAAATCAACACATTTTGCTTTTTTGATTTGATTGATTTGATTGCTTTTTGATAATTTGAAAACTGCACAATGTCACAAACCCAAACACAGTGTAGTGTTTGCACTCTCACCTGTGCACGATGCCATGTCTGTGCAGGTGCTCCACGGCAGAGAGGATCTGTCTGGTGTAGCGTCGGACTTCCCTCTCCTCCAGGCGCTTCCTCTCACAGATCCGGTCCATCAGGTCTCCTCCTGCACACAGCTCCATGGCCATGTAGTAACTGTTCTCTGTCTCCAGGGTCTACAGCGACAAGAGGACAGAGTTAGCTCAGACCAACAGAGATAATACAAATATCTGCTGTGTAAATATCTTAAACTGTGTAACATTTATGATAGAGGGTCCACCACCTGCTTGACCTCATGTAGATGTTATTGTTGTTTCCTGGAATATTCTACAATACGACATTTCATTTAACTATCTCCATGGAGACACGCAGGCCACATCAGCTCACCGTAAAGGCCAATTTACACTCCAGTGTCAAATCGTCTACATCACGATGCGTCTGCGTCGACTGACGTGCACCTCTGAAATTTTCTAACTATGGGTTAAAACGACACAGACCACAGGGGAAGCGACACAGATATTAAGTGATGTGATTGGTCGTCTCTACCACCGTTCTACATACATTTCCTGTACTCGGCTTTCTTTTCTTTCAGTATACATTGAGTAATAATGTGTTTAATGCAGCTTTGCGCACATTTGTTTATGTTTTATAGAAGCAAAACTTAAAACCGCATGACTAATTTGCATAAACTAGGCTCAAAAAACAGCTCTCTCTTTGTGCCGTGATGTGGTTCAGCTTCTGTCGGACTAAAGGACATGAGTCAGTGGAACATGAGTGTTCTTTCTGTGACAGAGGGGTGTTCTGCTGATGGTGAGTCTGTTTTGTGTTTCTGTCATGTTGGAGATGGTTCATTTTAAACTTTTCAGAGATTATACGTCTACAGGTTGTACACACAGACCATATATATGAATGGACATATATTCTAACCCCCTAGCGTTTCGGTGGAGAATTACTTCTCGTTGTATGGACCTCGACACAGACCCATAAATCAAAAATGATAGTGACAAGGAGATGGTGGCAGTGTGCTTTGAGTCGATGCAGAACTATACTATACACCCTTAATAATGCATGTCTTTGTGGTAGTTTTGAGAAGTAATAAAAACCCATAATTTAATAAATACAAAATATATTTGTTTAATGCCATGCCATGGAACATCCCAGGCAAAGCATAAACAAAGCAGATGGGGGACCCTCCACCAGAAAAGTTACACAGTGCACGTTTAACTTATGATAAGTTAAAGGTATCACAAAGGCATCCACAATTTTATTTAGCTTGACTTATGCTACTACTACTACTAGCAGAAGCAGTAGTATAGAGTATAGTAGTATATAGATGCTGGTTGTTATTTGACTTTAAGCCACAGGATATATATTAAAAAACCAGTGTATTTTTAGGGTTCTTTCACACCGACAGCAGTTGGTGCACCAAATGTTCCATTTGAGCCAGAAGCTCTTAGTTCAGTTCGTTTTTGTTGGTGTGAAAGCTTCAGTCGCACTCGGATCCACAGTAAATCAAATGGACTGAGACCACCTCTTTTTTGATTCCACACCAAATGCCAAACTCTGGTGTGGTCCCTCTGGTGAGAACCTCAACTCAGGTCCAAACCAGAGACAGTAGGTCCAAACCAACTATTCCAAATGCATCATGGGAGGACAGGCCCGGACTCCTGAATTAAGAGGCCGGAGGTCAGCTTTCACGCTGTCCATACTCCTCGAGCGACTCCGTGGGAAGGCCACTGGGCGAGACAGAGCGTCTTGGCCTCACTTTCGAGAGGTGTGGTGTGCAGGACAGCCTTGACGTCCCTGAGCCATGTGCAGTCAAACCTGCTGTGTGCAGGAGCCTTGGATATACAACAATCTGACCAGTTTTGTTTGGTCTGCAGATGTGAAAGAACCACACTGGAGTCTTTGATACACAGTAACAATTTTATTGCCTGGACCAAATAATCAAACTAGTGGTGTGAATCCCCACCAAGTAACCTTTTAGCCAAACAAATGATCTTAAATTAAATGATTTGTTTTTCATTTTAGATGTATTTATTGCACTGGAAAACTTTAGAAAAATGTGCATCCTGACTGTTTGCCTGTTTCCATGATAATTGTTTCATGGCTTTTATATTCTACATTATGGCACACAACACATCTATGTCCATGAAAATATTTCCAAAGTATGGCTTTACCTTTTTATTTCCATGGAATCATACAAGTGATGTGCCACCTCCAGAAAGCTGCTTTGATTTTCTATTTTTATTATCTTATCTTACATGATCTTATATTTATATTTAGTGTTGGTAGTGTGTCTGAAAGAAAACTAACCACCCACAAAATACCTGGAGTAAATTTCTTCACGAGGACAATAAAGTTTTCTTTTTCTTTCTTTCCTTTTCTTACCATTTTCTTTCTTTCTCTCACCTCAAACAGGACTACGATGTGTGGGTGTCGGATCATCTGGTGAATACGAGGTTCTCTCTTCATGTTCTTCAGCACGTATGAGTCCTGACGAGCCTTCTTCTTGTCTATCACCTTAATGGCCACCTGAAAAAAAAAAAGGATCTAATATTATAACTATGGCAAAAGCTGCAAACCAGGCCTGATTTAGTCAGTTCAATCTGCTGAAAACAAAAAACAAACAAACAAAAAACCAAAAAAACTGTAGTATTTTCTATTATAAAAATTCATACTCGTACAACTAGGATAAATGTGTGTTTTTCTTTCTTTTACTTTGTAGTCATAAAACTACAAATCAGTTTGTAGCTGTTCTCCTCTTCTTGACATCAGAAGTCTAGAGTCGGAGGTGTTAGGGCTTACAGGGAGCCCACAGATTACCAGGGGGGACCTTGCCTTGTCGTGACTCTATTATCCAGTATACTCCAAACTGTGAAACAAATTACTGCTGATGATACTGTTAAAAAATAAATAAATAAGTAAAAGGGATGTAACAATAACCGAAATAATGTGATATCGTATCGTCAAAAGTCACAATAATATCGTGGACTGTCACAATATATCGAATCACAAGTTTCTTTGCTTAAATGCAGGTTTCAATGTAGTAACAGCTTATAAACACCAGGAACTACATGTCCCATGATTCATTTCAGTGCAAACAACATGAAGGAATATGTTTTTACTTGAATTCTTGGGATTATGATGGAAATAATTCACACCAAAATCTCGATCAGGGTATTTTAAAAGCAAAAAAAATGTCCTATCTACAATTACATGAGCCTCTCCAAAGTATCACAATAAATATCGTAACATGCGATGTATACCGTGATAATATTGTCCCGAGAGATTTGGATATCGTTACATCTCTAGTATTAATACACTGGTTTACATAATAAACTTCTGTGCCTTCATTATCATTATTATTAGTTTGTACGACCACAGTATGACATTTATTTTATTATATGTAAATATCTGTAAAGTTCCGTGATTAATGTCCATAAGAAACCACATCATTTTTGAAACTATGTCATGAACAGGGCTGGGTTAATATAAGTTTTTTATTCTTCCTGCTCCTTTTTGAGAAATGTGCTTTTCTGTTGTTTATAATGTATATGTAGGATTAGGGGTGTAATATCTGAAATATCGTGATATTATATCGTCAAAGGTCTCACAATAATATCATGGATCATCACAATATATCGAATTACAAGTCTCTTCACTTAAATTAGAAATTAGTTATGGTGCAGTAATATCTAAAAAAAAAAAAACACACACACACAGAGGGAACTACAAAGACCATGATCCTTTGCTTTGGTTCCGTGCAAACTATATGATGAAATAACTTTTATACGCACTTTTAAATCTTAATTTGGTTCTTTGGATTAAGTCTTGTCAAGACTTCCAAAAGGAAAAAGTTGCATATTCACAGTTTTGTCACCCTCCACAAAATATGGCAATAAATATCGTACCGTGAGGTGTGTATCATGAAAATATCGCACATCATTAAAGTGTAGGATTATTGTTTCTCTTGGCACAAACTCACAAAATTCCTCACGCTCAATGTTACTTTTCAGTATTGTGCATTTTCCCTCTGAGGCACAACAGTAGCTACAGCTGCCCTGAGACAGACTGACAGAAATGAGACTGCCAATCTGTGCCATCAGCCCCTCCGACCATCACCAATGCCCAGTCCTGTTTAGCTTCTGAAATCTGATTTGGAAAAGGAGAGGAGAGCACAGGAGGAGTTGTGCCAATCCCAAATCTGGTACATCTGTGTGTCTTGTAGCTATGCCAAATAAGGATTTATACATTTCACTAGAGTCACAGAACAATAAATATAAACAAAAAACCCTTCCCAAAAAGTTACGTAGTGGACCTTTAAAGCTGAAATAGTGCTCTGTGCTCGTGGAAACAGCAGTGAGGACTAACAGGGGTCAACGGGGCCAAACATCTCCCACAGGTGAGTTTGGCTGTTACCGTGACGACAGAGTTAGGTACATACGATACAATGAGGTCATGGACGCAGTGACCCTTCAATGACAGGAAGTTAAACATACATCTGCACACGGACACACGCCACTGAAGCAAGAAAACTCCACAGAAACACACACACGATAAAGAACATGAATGTATACATATGTCGCCTACAGAGGAAACAACTGTGTACAAGAGATAAAACTCACATCATAAACACACTGTATGCTGCTGTCTCCATGGAGATGTCACTGCTTTGTCTGAAATGCTTCATAGTATTTTTCCATCGGGCTTTTATTCATTACAGGTGTTTCTGTTGCTCAAAACAATACAGTAATTCCTGTGTGTGAATAGAGGCGACTCTCCACAGATCTGACCTGTCATGTAGCGTTGTGCTGTAACCTGCTCATCTCCCTTGTGATAGAAAAGTTTAATTTATAGGTGAGTTTCAGCTGACGTCATTGTTATTAAAAGCCCGCGTTGCATGTTGGGAAATATTTTGGTCGGAGGCAAGAAACATGATAGCGGTCAAACACAGTGCGTAACCTCGCGTATTTATCCCCGATAATGGTAAATTCCTGCTGCATTATCGGATGCACAAATAGAAGCACGGAAAAAGGAAAATGTCTTTTTCGTATTCTGAGTGAAAAGAACAGCTAACGGCGAATTAAATGGCTTTCAAACATCTGCAGAGCAAACGTAGAAGATCCTAACAAACCGTGGACTCCAACAAGTTCAACAACACATCGAGACTGTTGGAGGCTTTCATCTTTTCTGCTGTGAATGGCCCAGGAGTTTCCACCAAGTCATTGTGGATATCGCCGAAGTGAATATTTGTCCAGGTAGTTGGCGATTCCGACCAGAGATTTGGTTTGGTCCACCTTTTGTCGGGGTTGAAAAGGGTGATTTGGCGTCCATCGATGCTTATGACCAATTTCTGGTCAAATGGTCTATGGTCCTCTGCCATTAGAATGGATAAATAACCAGGAGCAATACCCTTAACGTGATTTCTTTCTCGTGCTTTTGTCAACAATGAATCTCGCCTATACTGTGGAACATTCTAGACAAAGCAATAACATCTCCATGGAGACTAGCATAAGAAATGTTATACAATGCACCTTTAACTTGTCAAGTAAGATCCAGATTTAGAGAAATATAAAATTTAGAAGAGTGTAAAATCCCTGAGAAGTCCAGGTAGAATCCCTGGCAAAGGAGAAATTCAATTTGTCAAAAGTGAAGAGCAGCTTAGATGAGCTGAGAAACGTTTCAACCTAAATAAACATTTGTCCAGTTGACAAATTGAATTTCTCCTTTGCCACTGTTTAGAAAAGTTTTATCCAGTGTTAATATTATTTAACACAATGCTATATGTGTGTTGGACTAACCTGCTTTAATTTAAATTCCATATAGATATAATTTGGAAACGTAAGTTAAAGATTGTCATGGCGTTCAGTTTATTTGTGACATTACTGGGTGTTCTGTAAGTCTGTCTTTTATAACAATATTGTACATTTTTTTTGTACATTTTATTACTGTTACTATAACTCAAAGATGCACTGTTAAACTTTTAGTTTGGGGCTCCATCATCTTTTTGTTTCTAAGGATACATCATTGTTTCGCTTGGCATGTTCCACAGTGTGACATTAAACAGATCTCCCTTATATTTATTTAAAAATATGTAGAAAAACAGACATTGTGACGGTGAGCGGGGTTGCCTCTCCACAGATCCGACCTGTAACTTGGTCTGGTTTGGTCTCCATGAAGACAGAACGGTTTAATGTCATACTGTGAAACATTCCAGACAAAGCAATAACCAGAAAAGTTACACAATGCACCTTTAAATGTAGCAAAGCAACCTAAGTCAAACATGTTACTTTTTTTTTTTTTACATTTTATCTAGCCTATTTTCATTAATATTTTACTACTACTACTACTACTACTACTACTACTACTACTAATACGACTACTGCTACTACTACTACTTTTATTTTACTTGTAGACATAAGAAACATATATTTTTTTAAATCTTTTGACAAAAAGTTTTTGCGATGTTTGACTACTTTAATTATTTTAAATCAGTTATAATTTAATGTAAGCTCACTTTAAACAGTTTTATTCCATTAATGACATTTAAAAGTGCTTGTGGTGGATATTTTATGATACTAGTCTCTTGATAACATCTCCCTTCTCAAATAAGTGCCTTTAAAGCTATCATTACTTGAGCTCACACTCCACACGCACAAGCATAACATTATATTACGTTCAAACTGGATGTGTTATTATTATTAAATGTTACTAGGGGTGGAACATTAACTAAAATATCATGATACTGTATCATCAAAAATCTCTGAAAAATATCGTGGACCATCACAATATATCAAATCACAAATTTCTTTGCTTAAATTAATAGTAATGGTGCAGCAACAACAACAAAAAAACAGAGAGAACTACATAGACCATGATGCTTTGGTCAATTTTGGTGCAAACTACATGAAGAAATAACAGTTCTAAGCACTTAGTTCTTTGAATTAAGTCTTGTCAAGGCATTTTAAGAGGAAAAAGTAGCATGTTCACAATTTTGTTCGCCTCCACAAAATATTGCAATAAATATGGTACTGTAAAATGTATATTGTGAAAATATCGTACCGTGAGATTTGAATATCATGACTTCCATATATGTTACATTAGTTACACTATTTTCTGATCTATGTTATAATTTTGATGTTTCCTCATCAGAAAAAAAACCCAAAATAAAACAATACAAAAAAACCCCCAAAAAAACTAAAAAACAAAAACAAAAACTGGAGTTGTTTCATTCACACATGTTTAAGACAAATTCTGTGTGTGAATTCTTCTGAGAAACTGAAAACACCACCTTGTGATTGATCTTTTCAGAGTTCCACTATGTTTTTAAACTTCATACAGCTTCACTAGAATCATTTGGATCATTTCAGCCCTGGAACGTAGCTGTTCACTTGAAAACTACCGCTAGATGACATCAAGATGACAAGATGACAAGGAACAGAACATTTTGAACTTTGGAGATGTAAACAGACTCCATAATAAAGAATTACTCAAACAAAACAAAACACAACTTCAGGTCTGTTTTTGATGAGGAGACATCATTATAACACACTCTAGTTTAATTAAAATAACTTAAATTAAGATCATTTGACTTTATTTGAGTAGATTCAACTTGACAAGTCAAATGATCTACTAATGGAATAAATGTTATTTTTTTTAATTCAGGCAACATTTGATTGTGTTTCTTATTTTAAGTGCAAAAATATGTTGTTTTTCTTATTTTAAGAGTAGCAAGATGTATTTTCATATTTTAAGTACAAAAAGTCTCATTCCACAGGCAGATCATTTTAGTTTTTAAGTGAAATTTACTGAAATCATGATGAAACTTTCAAATTCAAGTTGTTTAAATTTATTTTTTTTGCAGTGCATGAATTAAAGCTCACAAGATCATTATCTCCTCCTCCTCCTGACCTTTTCTCCAGTCCCGATGTGGAGCCCCTCCATCACTTTGGCGAAGGACCCTTTGTTGATCATCTTCCCCACCAGGTAGGAGCCCACGCGCTTCGAATGGGGAAAACTCCTCAGCACCTCCCTGGAGACTTTGACCAGAGGCAGGGCCGCACGCTGCTCCTGTCCCCCCAAGCCTCCGCCGCCCCCTCCGTCTGCCCCCTCTCCTCCCTCCGCCACCATGTCCTCGGCAGCGGCGGGGGGCTTCACTGGAACAGCCGGCATTGCTCAGAGAAAACAGTCCGGTCCATTTCTAGTCCACAGGTCCAAACCAAGCTGGGTAACACGCTCATGACAGCTCTCCTCCAAAAGCCTTTCCAAAATGTTTCGATCTTCAACTTCTGTTATTCAAAATTACTTTTTTGTAGTTCAACTTGGATGACAAAAACTACAGAGAAGTGTCCATGTGTAGTTGTAGTTTGCGTCTGGTCCCGGAGAGTCCCTGTGTCCTGTGTGTGGCCAGCCTCCTCTTCTTCTTCTTCCTCGTCTTCTTCTTCTTCACGGGTTTGGTTGCTTCCGTGTTTGTCTGTGCCGGTGAGTGGATGATTAACCGTGGACTTCACAGGTCAGCTTACACACACACGTACACACACACACACACATACACTCACAGGCGCACACACTGGCTCTGTCTCCGCAAACAGAACATGGCTCACTGTTACACTCTTGAAAACTCTCATGGGACAGAGAGAGGGGACACCGTACATTAACTACACTGTAATTAGCCTTAATAAAGCATCAACAGACTTAACTATGAAGAAATTGTTTATTAAGAATGATTCAGGCTCAGTAAGTACTAGTTAATAAACAGAAATCGAATTCCTAGGCCTGTCACGATAACAAATTTCAAAAAGTGATAAATGGCTTATAGCGATATAATGCAATACACAATAATTTTGGAACTACTTGCCACTGACACAATAAAAATACAAACAAATAATAATACATCAGACTTATGTTCTCTCAAAGGTGCTTTACAAACTAATTGGAAGCATGATTGTAGAAAACAGAGGGGAATCATGGGGGGATGCTAAATTGAGCAGGTGAGTTTTTGTTTTTAGTAGTGGTTTGAAGTGCTGCAGTGCGTCCCAGTTCCTGATGGATTGTGGGAGAGAGTTCCAGAAGGAGGGGGGCGGCGGTAACAATCAATCAGCCCCTCAGTAATAATGCAAGATAATCCCCGTAATCCATTTTTAAATAGACAGTATCATTAAAAGGTCTGAGGTGTAGCAAATAAATAACTGAATGAACCAATAATTGGCCATAGAAGTGACTTACTTAAACTTTTACAGCAAAATTGGTTAGGGTTAGGGTTAGGCTTAAATGTCTACTTTTAAAAAGAAATTCCATCCATCCATTTTCTTCCACTTATCAAGGGGGCAGCAGTGTAAGCAGGGACTCCCACTTCACTTCCAGGCCCCCGAGGCAATCCCAGCCCAGAGACATAGTCCCTCCAGTGTGTCCTGGGTCTTCCTTGGGGCCTCTTGCTGGTGGGACATGAACACCTCTCGAGGGAGGCGCTCACGAGGCGTCAGAACAAATGCCCTCCCCTCAGCTGCACCTCTTGAGGTGGAGGAGCAGCGGCTCTACTCCAAGCTCCTCCTGTGTGACTGAGCTCCTCACCCTATCTCTAAGGGAGCGCCCAGTCACCCTGCGGAGGAAACTCATTTCAGCCGCTTGTATCCTTGATCTTGTTCTTTCGGTCATTACCCAGAGCTCATGACCAGAGGTGAGGGGAGGAACATAGATTGATGGTAAATTGAGAGCTCAGCTCCCTCTTCACCACAACGGTCTGATACAGCGACCGTATCACTGCTCAATGACAAAGAAATTGTTCACACGATAGTGAACCCCAGCATATACAATATAACGATAAGTCGTTATGGTAATTATATAGTGACAGGCATACTAATTCCTAACCATTTTAAACACTAATAACAATGCTTTCCACTTGTTATGTACTTTAAAAACTTGTCAAATCCCCTCAAACTACACACCACACTATAATTATTCTCTGTTCACTCCATACTATTGTAGCCTCAGGTGACCTGGGAAATACTGACAGAAATGAAGCTGCCAATCTGCAACCACCACCAACATATTCACCCACACAACACTTTTATACTAGGAAATGCAGCTAAAGTGTCTTGCCTAAGAACACAATGACAGAACCCAGTATATGAATTAGTAAGAATAAAATTACGTTTAAATAGATTATTATCCTTCAGACAGTGGCTATAGCACAAAAACTTAAATGAATATGAGTTATTGGTGAACTTGATAAAGCCTGATACTACACCTAAACACTACACTTGATATAGTACATTTATACTACGCACTACATTTATACAGTAGTGAAATACCTCCAGTGGTTTTCTGTTGTGATGATGGACACGTTAAAACTTTGTAAAACAACAGTTACTCACATCTGAAACAAACCACAATATTTTTTTCTTTGCTTATAGGAAACTGTAGGAAGAGCAGAGTCCAGCTCACACTGCTCCGTCCTCCTGCAGGTGAACACACTCACAGAAACACACTCGCCTTAAGCTAATGACAACAAAACATCGCTCAGGTTTCCAAACACACTTTCAAATTACAAGGCCCCGTCCGTCACTCTGATATGTGGACCGTTTACTCCTCACTCACTCTTCAATAATTCACTCAGATCTGTATGACCTTGTGTATTCAATGTATGTGTCTGTGTGTATAGTTGTGTTCTGAGTTTGTGTGTAGGTGTGTGTTTGTGTGTATGTGTGCTCGTGTATAGTTGTGTACTTGTGTATAGGTGTGTGCTCATGTGTAGGTGGGTGCACGTGTGTAGCTGTGTGCTTGTGTGTAGGTGTGTGTTCGTGTGTATGTGTGCTTGTGTATAGGTGTGCGCTCATGTGTAGGTGTGTGCACGTGTGTAGTGTGTGCTTGTGTGTAGGTGTGTGTTCGTGTGTATGTGTGCTTGTGTATAGGTGTGCGCTCATGTGTAGGTGTGTGCACGTGTGTAGGTGTGTGCGCGTGTGTTGGTATGCGCTTGTGTGTAAGTGTGTGCTCGTGCATAGGTGTTTGTTCGTGTATAGGTGTGTGCTCGTGTGTAGGTGTGTGCTCGTGTCAGTGTGTGCTTGTGTATAGGTGTGTGTTTGTGTATAGGTCTGTACTCGTGTATAGGTGTGTGCTCATGTATGTGTACTTGTGTATAGGTGTGTGCTTGTGTGTAAGTGTGTGCTTGTGTATAGTTGTGCACTTGTATGTAGGCATGTGCTTGTGTATAGTTGTGTCTTCGTGTATAGTTGTGTCTTCGTGTATAGTTGTGTCTTCGTGTATAGTTGTGTCTTCGTGTATAGTTGTGTGTTAGTTGTGTCTTATAGTTGTGTCTTCGTCTTCGTGTATAGTTGTGTCTTCGTGTATAGTTGTGTCTTTGTGTATAGTTGTGTCTTCGTGTATAGTTGTGTCTTCGTGTATAGTTGTGTCTTCGTGTATAGTTGTGTCTTCGTGTATAGTTGTGTCTTCATGTATAGTTGTGTCTTCGTGTATAGTTGTGTCTTCATGTATAGTTGTGTCTTCGTGTATAGTTGTGTCTTCGTGTATAGTTGTGTCTTCGTGTATAGTTGTGTCTTCGTGTATAGTTGTGTCTATAGTTGTGTCTTCGTGTATAGTTGTGTCTTCGTGTATAGTTGTGTCTTCGTGTATAGTTGTGTCTTCGTGTATAGTTGTGTCTTTGTGTATAGTTGTGTCTTCGTGTATAGTTGTGTCTTCGTGTATAGTTGTGTCTTTCGTGTATAGTTGTGTCTTCGTGTATAGTTGTGTCTTCGTGTATAGTTGTGTCTTCGTGTATAGTTGTTGTGTCTTCGTGTATAGTTTGTGTGTCTTCGTGTATAGTTGTGTCTTCGTGTATAGTAGTGTGTGTCTTCGTGTATAGTATAGTTTGTGTCTTCGTGTATAGTTGTGTCTTCGTGTATAGTTGTGTCTTCGTGTATAGTTGTGCTTGTGTATAGTTGTGTCTTCGTGTATAGTTGTGTCTTCGTGTATAGTTGTGTCTTCGTGTATAGTTGTGTCTTCGTGTATAGTTGTGTCTTCGTGTATAGTTGTGTCTTCGTGTATAGTTGTGTCTTCGTGTATAGTTGTGTCTTCATGTATAGTTGTGTCTTCGTGTGTTAGTTGTGTCTTCATGTTATAGTGTGTCTTCATGTAATAGTTGTGTCTTCGTGTATAGTTGTGTGTCTTCGTGTATAGTTGTGTCTTCGTGTATAGTTGTGTGTGTTAGTGTGTGTATAGTTGTGTCTTGTGTATAGTTTGTGTCTTCGTGTATAGTTGTGTCTTCGTGTGTATGTGTAGTTGTGTCTTCATGTATAGTTGTGTCTTAGTTGTTTGTGTATAGTTGTGTCTTCGTGTGTATAGTTGTGTCTTCGTGTATAGTTGTGTCTTCGTGTATAGTTGTGTGTCTTCGTGTATAGTTGTGTCTTCTGTATAGTAGTTGTGTCTTCGTGTGTATAGTTGTGTCTTCGTGTATAGTTGTGTCTTCGTGTATAGTTGTGTCTTCGTGTATAGTTGTGTCTTCGTGTATAGTTGTGTCTTCGTGTATAGTTGTGTCTTCGTGTATAGTTGTGTCTTCGTGTATAGTTGTGTCTTCGTGTATAGTTGTGTCTTCGTGTAGTAGTTGTGTCTTCGTGTATAGTTGTGTCTTCGTGTATAGTTGTGTCTTCGTGTATAGTTGTGTCTTCGTGTATAGTTGTTGTGTCTGTGTGTTGTATGTTGTGTCTTCGTGTATAGTTGTGTCTTCGTGTATAGTGTATAGTTGTGTCTTCGTGTATAGTTGTGTCTTCGTGTATAGTTGTGTCTTCGTGTATAGTTGTGTCTTCGTGTATAGTTGTGTCTTCGTGTATAGTTGTGCTTGTGTATCTTCTTCGTGTATAGTTGTGTCTTCGTGTATAGTTGTGTCTTCGTGTATAGTTGTGTCTTCGTGTATAGTTGTGTCTTCGTGTATAGTTGTGTCTTCGTGTATAGTTGTGTCTTTGTGTATAGTTGTGTCTTGTGTATAGTTGTGTCTTCGTGTCTTCGTGTATAGTTGTGTCTTCGTGTATAGTTGTGTCTTCGTGTATAGTTGTGTCTTCTGTGTGTTATAGTTGTGTGTATAGTCTTCGTGTATAGTTGTGTCTTCGTGTATAGTTGTGTCTTCGTGTATAGTTGTGTCTTGTGTCTTTCTTCGTGTATACTTGTGTATAGTTGTGTCTTCG